CTCTCTCTCTCTCTCTCTCTCTCTCTCTCTCTCTCTCTCTTGTGCTCTCTTTCTCTCACTCTCTTTCTCCCTCATCCGACTCGTTCTCTCATTGGCTCCGAAAAAAGAAAATAATGATTGACCTGTTGACGCCCACCGGCGTCTTAAATTAATTCCATATCTAATATTTATGGCGTATCGATACTCAATCATATTCGCGTTGACACATTGAAGTTTCGGCGCTCGATATGAATACATACATACATATACTACATATATTCTCCGCGAAGATGCGAAGTATATTATTAGGCACGGCGATTAATCCGCCGCGCTCTACCGTACCTAGATGTTCGGTTTCAAACGGCATCTCTTCTCGGCTTTTATGGCTTCTCCCTTGCGTTCGGGAGAGTTGGTCCGTTATCGATAAAGTTGTCCGTCACGGCGCAACAGGTAAACTCAACTTCGGGCTCTCACTTTCATCCGTGAATTTTGTCCGGCGTGAAATTTCCGTCTCCCCCGTTTTGTCTCCTTGATCTCGACGATCGTTGCCAACCCGTCATAACATTAATAAAACGCGACTCTGATTGTTCGCATTGTTCACGAATAATTCGACAACTTTTGCCTTATGATTTACGACAGAAACGCAAATTACGTAGGAACGTAGCAGGACTCTTTCAATTTAGGGTACGACATCCGGTTTGCTTTGTCGCCGGGGAACAAAGCGCTTCACGACAACAATTTTCCGAGGAATCCTGCGACTGCTCTCTCACGCGCGAAAGATGCAGAGAGAACGTACGCAGACAACGGCACGCATCAGTTTCCCGTCGCGCGCTAATTATCGTTTGCGCTCGACCATCCCCATGTTTCCGCGACTTTCGGGAGCTCTCCCGCGCGTCGTGTTCGATCATCCCTCGGATGGAAGTTTCCCACCACTTTCGTGACGATATTTACGTCACCGTGAAACTTGCGATTGCGTTCCTTCGATTGTGTATCGCGTGGGAGTTACGCACTGGCAAATTGCGTCACTGCAAAAAAAGAAAAACGAATGAACACGTGTAAAGGTTTAAGGGGATGCTGAAGCTGATAACTTTACCGACAGAACACTGACATTTTTCTGCAAAGTTTACGTCGTATTGGTTACACAGAATTACAACTGCTTTTACGCAATGAAAGCACGTGCAAAAATAAATAAGAGCATTGCTTGATATATGACAAAAATGAACAAAAAAATTTTAATATAAAATCTCAAGCTGTCAGTTAGCGTAATATTTGCCTAATCCAAAAGTTCCACAGTTTGTACATACCGAAAGTGTGGATATTCCAAACAGAAAAATTTTGAAGAACATTACCTTTGCATCAGCATTTGGAAGCTTAAGAATATCGAAAAAGTTTGCAGGAAGATTTCTACACATACGAGTATATGGTTAGGTTTTTCATTGAATATGGTAAAATAAAGCAACGCACATTCATGTAAGTTCTATATATACAAGAAATATGAAAAGGATAGCGTGATTATGTTAGTGACGATCGTCTCTGCATTATCGACATTGTTCGAGTTCGTCATCGACTCCAGGATTCCCTTAAGCTTTTGTACAATTAATGGAAATCAAAGCGACATCCCCTTAAGAACCGGCAAGAATGATTACGGAGATCTCTCTCAGAGTGAAACAAGCAAAGGCATTTTTCGTTTACTAACTAAAATACTGAAAAGATCAGCTTACAATTATGATATTTATAAACAAGGGAATTGTTTGCAGAGACGTATAGAATATTTCTTTTTAGGAAAAATTTCGAAATAAAAACCAAATGATTTATTTGAATGAGCATCGCATGGAAAGTACAGTATGAGTTCATATTTTAATTTATTATACATTTTCATTTGCAAAATCCGTATCTATATATTTCTTGACAGTTATCCAAGAACAACTTTGAGAAACGTTTGCCGAGGAAATACAACGTACAGAGTACGAAAAAGTATAGCTTGCATAAGTGTAGCACTAATTTGCAGCTGTCGCGTTCGCGCGAGCGATGTATCAGTATTCGCGTGTATGTATATGTCGGACGTACAACTACGCACACAGAACAATGTTTTGCGCTCTTGCCACACAAGATCCCAAAGCCAAATCAAGATTTATTTTTAGCTTCTGCCGGCCCCTTAAGGAGTTTATTCATTCATTAAAATTATAGAATAATTTAACGTAAAATTTATAGCATTGAAATACATTCGCACAGAAAAAAGATTTCAGTTTATATGACTGAATGGGGACCAGACGAAAAACTCGCTGACAAAAATAATATCTCTGTTACTGTGACCGAAAATATCTGTCTGAACATTTAACTGCGTTAAAAATCATTTGCAATAAGTTTAGTAGAAATATATAATTGGTTGAGTAGAAATTTTCTACAAAAATCTTTCTATTCCTACAACTGAGTTTTTTATTTGGTTCCCACATAACAAAAAATTTAATTACACTAACAGAATTGTTTTTTTTTCTGTGCATAGTTAAAGTTTCATGCAATTTACCTGCAACGTTTATGAGAAATTCAATATTGAATATCTTGCAATTTTGCATATAACCTTATGAAAGCAATATAAATGACCATTATTTTAGTATAACTTCGTGTTGGGTAATACTACTTAAGTAAAAAATTTATGATTATAAATATTACATGTTACGAAACGCGCGGAAGAAAGAATAATATTCACTACACTATTTTTGTGTAATTGTCAATCATAGAAAACTGTTGTTTTGTGTCCGAAATAATATTGTAATGAGTGAAACATGACAAGGTAGTATCATGAAATTAGTTTCATGATAATTTCATGATAGTTTCAAATTAACATTTATTACTTAAATAATAAAATAATAATAATAATAATAATAATAATGAAATAAACCTATAAAAACGTAATTTTGTCCGATAAAAAGTGAATTTATGTGTAGCTGCCTTGATGCTGAAAATACATCGTTTGAGCACCCTAAAAACATTCTGAAAATAAATACCTGATGAATAAACTCTTTAAAGCCTCATCAGCTTTTCGACCTCCCTTATGTTACATCGCACAACTTCTCGTTCTCGTCGTCGTCGTCGCGACAAGCTCCGTTACCATCTCGGACGTATCTTATTTGCAGCAACCGAGACCACTACCTCAAGCTGTTCGAAATGCGGACGCGATTGAGCTTGATTCATTTCTTTGGCTGTCTGCTTTTGATTGCCGTCGTCGGGACAGCGAACACCTACGCCGAACCGGAACCGATGGCTCGACCGACCAGACCGAAGGCAATCGCGAGCCCCGAAGAGCTGGAACGATACTTTGACCTTGTCAGGGACTATTACTCCTTGAGGAGGGCAAGGTAAAGATAACGTTGTGGTGCAATGTCAGATTGTGTGTGTCGAGAACGTAATTGCCTATTTAACACGTAGTATAGTCGGTTACAAACCGATTTGCGCACTGTTTATCGAGTGAGGTTGCGATGCTTGTGCAAATCGTTTTGCAAACGACTACACATGATTATAGATATTCCGTAAACAGATATTGAATTTATATAGAAACTAATGATACTAAATCTAATGATACAGATATTGAATTTATATAGAAACTAATGATACTGAAGTATCTCAGCTCACTCAGGGCTAATTTAGTGTAGAATTTTTGACTATTTATTATGGCATTAACAGTGCAACCTCAATTTCTCAAAGCAGCCTCAATTTCTAAGAATCCTTACTTTTAAAAGTCCCTGTTTCTTTGAAAACTATCACCCAAATAGATATTTTTATTTTCTAAACATACTCGGGGGAAACATGGTGATGGCAATTAAATAAGTGACAACTATATCAAATTTGTATGTATAGAATTGTAATCTATATATAGTTTCATAAACTATATACACTAATTCTATATACAAAACTTTTATAATTATTACCTATAATTACCTATACAGCCATCATCATGTCTTTTTTTTAAGTTTAGATGAAAGCGATTCTGTAGGAAAAAGAATTCCTTTATCTAGTTGAAGCATGCTTATATATTATTATGTGTATAACTTCTCGCCAAAAATTTTTCGGCGTCTTTATAGGACAGTAGATGCTTTGAAAGATCCTTCTTTTTAGAATTTTGTTTGACTTAACGATCGAGCCATGATTGAAAAATGAGTTGTTATAGTCATTTTCTCATCACTTCGATATCATTGCCATTTTCTGTTCCATAGAGGCTTCAAATTGATTCATGTTCCACGTCATGTTAAAGTCGTCAATATGACAATTACTTATACATCAGTTATTGTGAGAATTTATACACTCTAAAACGCACAGCTTATTTGAATCAATATTTAAGGCGAGCATGAAGCTTCAAGTGATCACGTATTAAAGTGCAAAAATTCCGACACAGAATTCAGCACAGTCATATACTCGCATGCAGTAGAATCAGCTGTAATAGAATCGGAGAATCGTACCGCGATTAAGCCCCTGATTAAAAATGCTGCTTAAATATCGCGTGCAGATATGGCAAGCGCGGCGGTGACGCGGCGCCTCGGATGTCCGAATTGAACGCCACTTGGGAGACCCTGAAGACGATCTTGGACACGCAACGGCAGAATCAACAGCGCAGGCTGAGCAAGCTCAAACCGAGCAAAGAGCAAGAAGTCGCGTACCGCGATTATCACAGCTTGGACGCCGACAGACACGCGTCGCGTGTCGCTACACGACCCGGCTACCTTCTGGACGCAGTCGGCAGATACTACGACGATGTACAGTAAAACGGCCCTCGTGTAGTGTCCCTAATTTCACTGAAAAAAAAAGAAAAAAAAAAGAAAAATTATACCAAAGTCCTCCCACTACATTCCAAGCAATCGTGATATAAGTCCTTCCTTGTCGATGTTGAATTGACTTCTTGCTTTGTTTCCTTGTCGCGTGACTTAGCGTTGTGGATCTATATCTAATTGAAGGATAATTACGGTAATAAATACGGTATGTCTGAACAAGACCAAAACTTGCGCAAAGATAACGGGAGAAAGAGAGAAAGAAAGAGAGAGAGAGAGGAGGAGAGCGAGAGAGAGTGAATGAGACGATAGAGACGGGTTTCTGTCGCGATGAAGATACGCGATCTGACGTTCATGATCAAAAAACAGCTCTCGGTGTTTAATCGATTATGCTACTAATTGTGTGATACGAATCTAAATAGTACGTTTGTAACCTTCCTCCTGTAATATTGTATGTAAATTCCTTTGTTATCAAATGGAGCATAATAAAATTAAATCGAACTTAGATACACTAACCTCTGACGGTCGACTAATTAAAAGAATGACTGCCGTCCGTTTTTGCGGCATATTCAGATACGCGGGCTGTATCGCTTACTCGCGATGCAATCAGGGTGCATTATGGATGATATATTAATGTAAATCTCAAAAATATATTTTCACTTCTCGCTGATATAAACTATATCATTTTCAAGTGTCGAAAATTCGAACAGAATTTGTTTTAATGCGCGAGACTCAATATCGCGGTGAGTGACTCAAGTCTGTTATCTAAAAAATCTATTATTTAAAGTTTTCACATTCTACTTGTAATTATAATGATCAGAATAAAACCTAATTCAAGTTTATATTTTTAATATATCAATATTTAAGCTTTTTACGGCCGCTATTTTGAATTTGAATTTTGATAATAATTTGGACCCCCAAAAACTTCTATAATCGTCTCAAAGTGAAACATATTTCTTTTGAGAAAGCCGGAGGTGTGGAAGGGTTATAAAGGTATTAAGAAATACTTAATATTTGGTGCAAATTACGCGCGCTAAACATTATATAAGGAAAATTTCATTAGATTCTCGATTATAGTATTCGTGCTTGAGATATTTGACTCGGAAGACCAGTCGACCTAGAAATTCCAGATAAGCTTACACGGTCGCGTTGTTTTGTTCGATACGTACTCGGCGTCGCGCCGCGGCGCTTGATTAGACTCTCTAGATTGAGAACATGCACGTGAGGTGTTTGAAAAAATTTATTTATTATGAAAGTACTTTCGAGTGAAGTGTATATCGGTGAAGTTATCAAACGTCATGATCTATGATCTTCCGGAGATACGAAAGATTAATAATTTATCGCAAAGGAAAGGACAGTAAAGCCCGACTGGCGGTACACACGGTGGAATTATTGAAGAATGAACAATGTCTTTATTTAATAAGTTACAATACAGTGACACTATTGGGCATTACATAAGGTAGCCTACTATCCTACAAATAAATAATTATTGATGAACAATAATTACTTTTCATTCAGTATAGAACGGAAACTTTGGAGTGGACTTGGCTCAAGTTTAACCACTATGTTAACAAATGAGTACGATGTATAAGCGGATAAAATGCAGGTGGTTGCGGCGACGGCTCATTTAGATCTCACGCGCTCAGATATACCGTTTCAAAAGACAGATAACCTGAATCAGGAATTTTCTTGCGTCTTCCCGGTATTGTCTAGTCCTCCTTCACATAGTTGAACCAGTCATTCTTCTTACCCATATTCTGATGCTCGTTACTTCCGATCTTAAAAGCTCGTTGCGGAGGTACCTTGCACTCGACTTTTGCCGGGAAGTCACAGACCTGCCTGATGTAGTCGTAACGCAGGTTCTCGGGACAGTTCTGCTCGTACGGTGAGCCGTTGCTGCACATGCAGAACTTGTGGCAGTCCATATGTGGGAGCATCACCGTATAGTTGGACGGGTCCTCCCAAGGGCAATCGCCGATGCAATCAGACGGTTTGTATTCTGCCGTGGTCCTTGCGTTCACGATGTCGCCATCGCAGGGATAATTTTCGGGCAAGTCGCAGACTTTCAGGTAAGGATTGAAATTGTTGTTGCGCGGGCACTGTTGCAACGTTTTATCGCCGTTGTCGCAATCGTAGTAAAGTTTACAGTTGGTTTCATGGGGTACCCTTGTTATTCCCTCGTCGGGGCACACGCTCGGGCCTGGCGTAGTGGTTTTGCAGTCAACGTTACTCTCTAAGTCACAGACGCCGATGAGCGGGTTGAAGGACTGACCTTCGCGACATGTCTGTAACGTTCTGCGACCCCCCTTGCAGCTGTAGTAGAGTTGGCAGTTATATTCGTGAGGTACTCGTTCTCCATCTTCTTTGCCGGCGCACGACGACGAGCCTGGCAGTGCGATACTTCCAGATGTGGGTACGGGAATCAGCTTGGCGCATTTTGCGATTTCGGGCTTATCGCACACGGCATACTTATAGTCATATTCCAAGCCTGCGGGGCACTCTTGTAGGATCTCTTCGCCGTTGCGGCAGACGTAGTACTTGGTGCAATCGTATTCGTGCGGCAGCGTTCGCTCTTCCAAGAAATCTTCAAACAGGCAAGCGTTCGGGACGACAGGTAACGTAGACACGAAGCCGCATTTTTTCACGTTCTCCGGGAAGTCGCATGCGCGCAATACCGGGTTGAACACTAACCCGCCCCTGCAGCTCTTTAGAACTTTCTTACCGTTGGCGCACTGATAGTAGAAAATGCAACTGGTCTTGTGCGGGAGTCTGATTATCCTGTTCTCGTCGTCTCTCGCCGGGCATTCACCGTCATTAATCGCAGGTGTCGTGGATTCCGTTGACGGGGAGGTGGGTTGTTCATCACTTTCGCACTTCACCACCTTCGAGTCATCGCAAATCTGTCGAATGCGATCATATTGCTGTCCCGATGGGCATTTGCGAATAATCTGTAATTAAAGCAATCGTTATATTCTGTGCAGGAGCACTCGCGTGAGCCCACTCTATTCTCTTCGTGGGGCTTTTGAGTGAGCAAACGTTCTGTGTATATATCGCTTATACTACGTGTGATGTCGTCTCGAAAGCTGTTGTTTCTATGTGAGTAATAGTGGCCGCGGCCATGGAGGAATGGGTCTTATGCATTTCACTATTTTCAATTTGTCGCATATTTGCTGGACGTAATCAATATGCAGATCTACGTTTGTCAGTGAATCTCTAATCCGTTCATGCACTCGTGATAATCAATGCAGAAGCATTCGTGAGGCAACAATACTTAGTTGGTGGGTAAACGTTTGGTGTGAAGGTGGTGATCAAGACAGTAGTGACTGCTGTCGTAGTGCCTCTCATCGAGTGAGATTTTTTGTGGTCTCTATGATAGTAGTTTACTGTGTTATCGTGATTTTGTGTGTAGAGACAGTGCTAGCGATTTTCGGTGTAATTGTGGTTTTTGTGTGAGAGTGGTAGTTCTATGCGTAGTGGTGATAGTTTTGTCGGTATGAGTAGTGCCAAGTGTAGTGTCAGTCGTAAGGTCAGTCACGATGCCAGTCGTAGTCTTGTGCGTTGTCGTGCTCATTTCGTAGGTCGTGCTTAGACGTCTGCGTAGATGTTGTGGAAAGGGAGACAAGTCTCACGCATCTGATTACCTTCGGCAGGTCGCAGAACCTGCCAAACGTAAATGTAGAATATTCGAGCATTGTCGACAAGTCATGAATCTGTCAGCGTACTCGTTGTAATCCGTGCAGGAACACTCGTGAAGCAACATTACCTTCTCCGCGGAACCTTTAGGCGGATAAATATCTGGCATAGGGATGATAGGTAGATAAGAGGTTCTAACAGGAAAAATAGCGGGTATGATTGTGGCATCTTGGCTAAATGGTTATGTTTCCTATTCTTGTCGTGAGTATCGCTCTTTTTGTCGTGCCGTTCGTTTCTCCCAGAGTGTTGATAGTTTTCGCGGCAATGCTCGTCGGAGGGATGGGACATTTGATTATACTCAGCTCGTCGCAAACTTGCCGAACGTAATCGTAATATAAACCGGCCGGGCAACTTCTACGAACCTGTAATCCGTTGACGCATTCGTAGTAATTCGTGCAGGAGCATTCGTGCGGAAACCTCTCCTTGGAATTTTTCGAACAAGTTCTCTTCTCCGTGGACTCGGTGGTCCACGTTGGCGAGTAGGTTGTGGTGGATATCACGCACTCCTTTTTCGGGTACTCGCACATCTGCAGAGTGGAATTGAAGTGGAGACCTTGCGGACAGTATTTGAGGACCTTCTGCTTATTTACGCACTCGTAGTAAGCGTTACAGCTGTTCGGATCTTCATACTTTATGCCCTCTTTTTTGCTCGAGCACTGGTAATAGCTGACGGTCGTAGAAGGGAATGTCTCGGTGAACGTCGGGATAGGTCGGACACATTTCACTATATTTGGAAGATCGCAAACCTGTCGGATCCAGTCGTAGTGCTTACCTGCCGGACAATTCTTCAGGATCGCATCGCCGTCACGGCATTCATAATATTTGCCGCATTGGCATTCGTGAGGTAATTTCGCCGCCCAACCGGAATCCTTTGGTGGGCACTCCTTTGGTGGGTGAGGAGGTTTGGTTGGAGGTTTAGTGGGAGGTTTGGTGGGAGGTTTGGTGGGAGGTTCGGTGGGAGGCGTGAACGTGACGTCGCAGTGTATGTCGTGCGAGTTGCAATCAACATTTTCTGGTAAGTCGCAATAACGAATTTTTGGGTTGAAGAGACCCCATGGGCAATGGTACAGGCTCTTCTCACCGTCTATGCACACGTAATAGTAATCGCACTTGGTCTCATGGGGTATTCTGATTATCTCGCCACCGGTATCCTTAGGACAGCAATCCCATATTCCGGGAGTCTTCTGAGTCGTTGTTGTCGTCGGAGGTGTATCCGGTGTGAGGGTGATCGTTATGATAGAATCGGTGCTAGTAGTAGTAGTAGTAGGTTCTGTAGTTGTAGAGTCGCCTTTGTGGATACAGCCTGCGCGATACGGCCAGTCGCACACTTGCAGCTCGGGATTGAAGTGTAACCTCTTAGTATGTTCTTTGTTCATGAAGGGACAGTCCATCTCTATCGGAGTGCCCATCAAACATTTGTAGAATTTTGTGCAGTCCTTATGAGCAAGATGAATCGTGGTGTTTTTTGGGTCGACTTCGGGACATTTTGTCGGGATCTTTACTTGCGGCGATTGGCCAAACGTAGATACGGCCAATGTGGTCACGAATAAAACGGCCACTGAATACATCCCTAAAAAATTCAAGATCCTTGTGATTCATAAGTTCATTGTCGTATTCGTAAGACCAATGTCGGCGATTAAATCGAAAACGTGATGTCTCTAATTCCCTTCAATACCATATTCTATTTGTTATATTAAGTATACGTAAACAGAGGTTCTTGAAATATATAATTTAAATGTGGAATTAAGATAAGTAAGGCAAGTAATAGCTGAACCCGAATGTCAATGCAAATATTTAAATTGAAAATAATGTTTGACAATGTTAACACATGTACCGAATCCTTTCAAGTTCAGGCTTGATTCCTGACTGAGGTAGTATTTTTCGCAACATCAAAAATAAATTAAAAAATGTACAATGCATATAATTAGAATAGGATAATAGAAACTTAATCAATATTATATTATAATTAATATTAATTATAATTTAATATATATACACAAATAATAATAATATTGATTATAATATAATTATAATAATATTAATTATAATAATTAATATTAATTATAATAATTGACATCTCCAGGGTCATCTCCAGGGTTTAATATGAAAGGTAAATTTACATCAAACCGACTCTGGAGAAACATTCAGAAACATTGTAAGTTCGTGAAAATATTTGACGCGTATATTACCATTAACATTGCCAAACACTTCCCATAATTTAATTTATCCTTCCATAATTTAAATATTCACACAACATCCGTTTTAGGCTATTACTTTTGTCTTACCTTGTCTTTTCTTCATTTAAATTCTGTTCAATATTGTTCTAACACAAACGGCTTGAATTTATCATTTGTGACAATTTACTAAGATTTAAATTCAACGCGCGTCAGTCATTTCTTTACATTTTTTGCGAATTATGTTTTCAACTTGACTTAATGAAATGTACGCGGCACAACTAATCTATAAATGCGCGTAACAATTTACTGAATTATTTTAAACTTTTGCACATGCGCGCGCGCGTATGTGTGGGAGAAAGAGCACATGTGCCATTATTATCTCGCGTTACCCCTCGTCGGCATATGTGCACGATTAACCACGATTATTCGCACTACGTGAAATTGCTGTCCCTTTCCGGGAAAATGTACGATCGCCTTGCACACATTCGCCACAATCGACTATAGCATTAGAATTATCCTGGTGCGCGGTCGTTTCTCCTCCGTTTGCCTCCACTTCGTCACTTGTTCGTTGTCCCGAGTTCCGCGAGTAGTAGCGAACACTCACCTTTCATCGTGAAGAACTCCAATCGCTAGATCATAAAGACTGGGACCTTATTACCGTCACTTATCAAGTCGCGAACTGACGAGCGCACATCTACGAAATGATTTTTATAAGCGCGCAGCGGGGACAGAAGGGTGTTATCGCCTAACATACATGCAACTTATCATATCTATAACTACGACGGAATTCTCCTCTTAGAAGTCACTTAAGAGGATACCGAAGTGGATGACGAATTCGAACAATTTCGATAACATAGATCGTCATTAACACGATCATATTGTCCTTTTCGTATTTCTTGTAAGATATATTTTAACGTGTGAGATAACCGTTCGTGTGAGATATTGTTGCCAAACATATTTAACCCTTTGCGTACAATCACATTTTTGGGACATATATAGTGAGCGAAAAAAATAGTTGATCTACCTAAAATTATTATTTTAGCTCCAACCATATATTCTTTGGCCATTCTAATACAAAAATGGTAATAGTAACGTGCATATAAGGTTATTATCATTATAACATTATAGTAGAATTTAATCAAAAAATTTTCGCGACCACAATTTATAGTAGTTATTTCTCTATATAATTATAGTTATCTTGTAATCGATCTTATATGGAATACGTGTTGCTTTATTTTACCATGTTTGCAGAAAACACAACTACGCATATATGAAAATTTTTCTGTAAACATGAAACAATATGATATAGCGATCTAGATACGGGGTATCGCTTTAGCAAGATCTTTAATCTTTACGATTGGATTCCTTCCCCGAAAACTCGCCCCTAAGCGGGGTTCTCGCCGTTCCTGTAAGCGTCGTAAATTTTTGTCAGTCCGCTCAATTTGCAGCGAAAGCAATTAGTAATGCGAAAAACTTTAACTAATCTCAGAAATTTCAAGGATTCGGGAAAATTAAGAATTTCGTTTAGATCTGAGAACTTTCTGGCAGTTGGTGCTTTGAATTTTCGCAACGTAACTCGCAGGAATTAAAAATCCTCGGATTTGCGAATTCTGAAATCCAATTTATATCCTGAAGTACGTGCGATTTGGATCTAATTTCAATTGTATGCTAGATTTCTGTATAGTTTGCACACACTGTATACAAATGTTTTCTTTTTACTAGGAAAGCTTACTTGAAGAAGTCCTTTTTACTAGAAAATCTATAATTCTTATAGATATACAACTGATATTATAAACTATCGCGATATTATTACGCAACTCATCGGATTTTTTTTTAAACCGTAACAACTAGTGACTTTTGATAGTAATCGATTCGATAATCCACATCAAGATAGGATAATAATCGAGTTATCAGTTGATGGAATGTACGTGTAAAGGATAAAGATTAGTCTCGTCAGAGCGATTATCTAAACATGACGCAAAAATAGAAGTGCAACAATTACGATGGAAAGAACACGCAGGCATTTTACGATTCAATTTGCTAATATCTTTTATTTCAATTTACACGGTTTACACACGTCGGCAATTCTGCGCGTGTATAAGAGTACGTGTTTATAAAAGTGTCATGCACATAACTACGTTCTACGTACACGTATAAAAGTCAGTCCTAAGTCCTGACGTAATAGGCTCTGATTCTCAGATTCTCAGATTAATATTTTTAATCGATACACGAGAATGTGAAGCTCGGCTTGTATCGTGACTCCATTATCGACTGATAATCTTCGTCAGCTCGATAATTCGTATAAATAATGTTCGCCTTAATCATGTTATGAATATAGATGTAATACTACGCAAATTTTCATTTATATATTTCTGATATCGATTTATTTGTTTCCTAATATTAGATTGCAGAAGATTTGTCATCTTGTCCGTTAAATTCTTATAGGAGGCTCGGTTATAAAAAAGAGGATAAGAAGTCTTTGTTAAATGTTTGTCAATGTTTGTTGAATGTTTGTCAAAATACCGACTCGATGATTTGATTTGACAAGATTATTAATCTCTAAGAGATTGAAAATAATTCTGTTTACCATTTTATTTAACAAATACGATAAGCTTTTTGTATCGACTTGATATGTGTGCTAACTATAAAACAGATTTAAGGGAAAAACGAAGTCTGAAGTATCGTATGACCATTTATTTTGTTGCTCTACAGCCTACATTAATAATCCTTGAAACTTGTCTAAGACAAGTAAGATACACAGATTTAAATTCAGAATTAGATTACAAAATTCTTCAAGTAAATTGTACGATATATACGACATTATAATTGTAATCGTCATCCCGGTGAAAAGCTTACATCTAACTCTCTAAATTTAAACCCAAAAATCTCACTTGTAAGTTTCAAATAACTATTATTACGGACTTGTATCTGTATTAATAATTGTCATCTGAAACTTATTTCATATAGGATATTCAGGATTTTCGTTCAGAGTTAGATCCAAGTTATTTAATTGAATTATAGTTACCTAAAAAAATATAATTTTATTCTTAGCGAAATCTTTTCATATATGGTCTCAAGAGGATTATCCTGAAAAGGAAAATTTTCTAACACCGTCAAAAAAGTCTAGCAAGATGCTGTTTCCTGTAATTCCATATTTTAACCGAAAATTTTTACGAAAAGAAAAGAATATTTTATCTAATAGATTATTAATCGACAATCTACTAGATATTATTTTACATTTTTCCTTTAGAAAAATTTTTTCTTTTTAGAATTAAAAAAAATATGTTTACTTCAAGCAGAATGTCCTTTCATCTCTCACAAGAAATCTCTGTTAAGAACAAGATTTATATTGTAGATAAAAAATGAAATTCTTGTAGGAATATTTTGCTTAGGATATTTTCTTTTTAGTTTTAGAAGAGTCCTATTGAGCCCATATGTAAAAGGACTCCGTTAAGAATGAAACTGTATTTTTTTAGTGATCACATCATTTAGTTGAATAACTTGAATCTAACTCTGAATAAAATCGGAGTATATGAGATAATGTAAGAGAGTCGTATTAAGTCATGTAAGAAAATTCTTTGCTAAAGAAATAAGATTATATTTTTCTGATGATATCTGAGACATTTATATCCGTGACTGCGATTCAACTGAAAAATGTTCTTATCTAACTCCAAATTTCTTATCTAAATTCAAATCCGAAAATTTCATTTAAAACAAATTTCAAGTAACAATCATCAATACAGACCTAATTCCCTAAGAATCGACGAAAACAATCACGAGACGGTGAAAAGTCGCGCGTTGTTCTTTCTGCGCCTCAATTCCCCTGCTAGGTTCACGTTTTTCGCGAGATCCTCTTCGCACTTGACCGCCCACGCCCAATTGCAGACCTTCTCCTTCCTGTCGTAGTACAAGCCTTCGGGACATTTCATATAGTACGGGACGCCGTTGCTGCACTTGCAGAACTTGGTACAGTCGTTGGCCGGCAAGTGTATAGTCTTGTGTTTCGGATCAGGGAACGGGCACTTGCCGTAACAAACGGTCTCTGAATCGATATCATCCTGGCTATTCGCAGGCATCCCCAGTCGCAATAATGCCAATTCCGCCGGCAGTGGGTGGCATACTATCTCGTTGAATGGCCAGTCGCATTCGCTGATGGTCGGATTGAAGTACAAGCCCACAGGGCAGCTGTGCATCGTTTTCCAGCCGTCCTCACAAACGTAATACAGGGTGCAGTTCGTCGGGAACGGTAACTTGGCGGTGCCCTCGGCAGGGCAGTCGGGGTCCCTTTTCGTGGGTAACACGTCGACGTTGTCCTCGTCCGACGATTCCAGTGCCGCTGTCGGAACCTTGAACGGTTTAGGGCTGCAGCATGGACTTACATCGCATGATATGTTCTCAGGAAAGTCGCAGACCCCGAGTTGAGGATTGAAGCTGTGGCTGTCGTGGCATCTTCGCAGGATCATCTCGCCACCAATGCACTCATAGTATTTGTCGCAGTCTTCCTCGTGAGGAATCCTCACAAGACTAGTGTTGTCCTTGGGGCACTTGACGATGGCCTCGCTTGGCGGCCCCATCGGCCGGAAGATGCAGCCGGCGTCCTTGGCCCGTCTGCATCGCTTCAGCCGGTTGTCAAAGTGATCGCCCTTTTGGCACTTCTTCACGACCTGCTCGCCGTTTTCGCACTTGTAGTACCTGGTGCAAAAGCACTCGTGCGGCAACCTAATCTCTATGTCGGAGTCCTTTTTCGGGCAACACTTCCATACACAGCTCTCCTCGCAGCCGACCTTACTTGAGTAGTCGCACATCTGGGTGGCCGGGTTGAAGTGCAGGCCTTTCGCGCACGTGAGCTCCTCCTCGCGGTCGTAGTCGCACAAGTAGAACTTGGCGCAGTCGGACTCATGTGGTATGCGTATGCACTGCTTCAGGTTTTTCGGGCACACGCTCGGCCGGTTCAAATTGGCATCCTTGCAGACCGCGAGGTCCGGCCAGGCGCAGTTTTGCAGAGCGGGGTTAAAGTGCAACCTGTCGCCGTACTCGTTTCTGTACGAGCACACCTGCAGGGTTTTGTTCCCTTGTAAGCATTCGTAGTATTTGCTACAGTCGGACTCGTGTTTCAGGCGAATCTTAGTATTCCCGGAGTCTTTTTCCGGGCATTGCGTCGGTATCTCGACGTCGGCATTCGCAAATACTCCCAACGCGACCAATGCGATGAGCGCCAAATAGTTCTCTGTAAATTAGAGAATGTTTATACTTATGGGTACAGATTAACAAACATAAAATTAAGCAACCATAGATGTATAGTTGTGCAGAATATTTGATAATTCATGATACACTTATATGTAAGAACTCATCAAATTGAACACAAAATTCCTCCACCATTTCATAAACTACCACGTTAAATTTTAAGTTATTAATCAAAGAAGATTCACTAAAAGAAATGTTTTGCTGATTTAGGTGGAATTCTAAATGTCACAGTTAAAGTTCATCGCTGTTCTTTGTATCTGTCTGTAGTAAGTAGAACTTACAGCAGCAGCATTTAAAATCTGCAAGCAAATTTAGGTGTGCAAGGATCATACATTCATTTGTCTCTTGTCGCTGATCTTTTTTGTCTACCATAGTCAATTTTTATATGAAGTGTGATTGAGTTTAATCTGAGTTGGCGATACACGGACACTTTCTCGCGAAATTTCACAAGTATTTTAGACAAAAATTCCATCTCTGCCATCTGTATTGATTAAACACAAAACATATGCGATATCGCAATGTTTGCTAATTATATAACCGTCTTAGTTACTTTTTCGTATCTCTAGATAATTTTCGTTATATATATGTGACTACAAGACCAATTTTTTTTTAATGTTGATGAATGATCACTTGTGATACGTCGTGTGCTTGTATTAGCTCAAACTGAACAAAAAACTACCATTTTGAAATGACTATATAGACTTATTACTCAAAGAAAATTAATGCATTATCGCGCACAATTTTGCATCAATTTTCTTTAATTAACAACCAAAAATTTATGTGGTCATTTGCAAAATTGTATATAGCTATATAATAATATATATTAATATATATATAATTATATATTTATGTTACACGTAAAATATATAACTAGAAATAATATAAAGATAGCTGTCTATAGTATAATCTATTTTTCTCTGTATATTTTTTATTTATTTATTCGTTCCATAGAATTTGCGAATCTTGTTTTTTTTTAAGGATCTAAAATCTGTTTAATCTGTTGGAAGCATTTCTACATTTTCGGCGTTATCGCGTAATACCATCTTCAATTTTGTCACGCAGCGAGAAATAACTGTTATCAATTTTTTAAGCTCAACGACACTACTGTGAGACACAGATTTGTCCCTACAAACGCACGCCCAGCAAACACCGATGATAAAAGACAATCTCCCTGAGCTGAGTTTTAGCTTAATAATGCCAAAATTTTGTCCACATTTAAGGAAACCGTGCCCTGCGATAGTTGAAATGGTCTCAGTGCGTTTCAGTGTAGCGTTTGGCCGAGACACATTTTATCAACAGTGGGATCTTTTCAGCGGCAATCGTGACATAGCGATCGTGACAATAAAAAGTACTTTCCGTTTCATGTAGCGATTCGTTAACGAAAAAACAAGACAAATAGATCCCTGTGAATTCCAATGATGTATTAGGCGCACAGGAAAAAACGCGAAGGTAAATCTGGCCGACGCGGCCCGCGATTATTCGACGAACGATTCAGTTAGCGAGCTTTGCCCTTTAACTCTTTCATACCTGCGGGATGTATATATCTTACTTGCTAAAAAAATCATAATTTTAAGACAAATAGTCCTATCGACTTCTACTTTGGTTTGTTTTAAAAAGAAAAATTAAGTCTATATCTAAAATAATTAGTACACTTTTAAATTTAATATTTAATATTTTTGATAAAATATAGTTATCTAAACTTTTCAAAAATCCAACTTTTAACTGACATACTGCTAACATCTCTTCAGACGTTTCTCCATCTCGCCCAGCGAATTTATAGAAGAGAAGATCGCGTTTTGTTGGCAAATAGACTGTTGCCTGTAAAAGTTATATAACTATATAATTATATCGATAATCATCAATAGCATGTGTACGGATTTTGACTCTCTTGAAGTCGAAAATGCGTTAAAAAATTCTTTCTAGTGACTGAGATCTATTATTATAAATTTAAATTTTTCACATTCCATTTGTAATTAATGATCAGAAAGAAGCCTAATCCAAATTCATATTTTAAGTATATGAATATTGAATCATTTTACGGCCGCCATTTTCAACCCGCCATTTCGATTCAATTTAAATTTTGACAGCAAGTTTGGACTCAGTGCTCCCAAAAACTTCTGTAATCGTCTCAATGTGAAGCACATCTCAGCCATCTCAGTGGAAAAGCCGGAGGTATGAAAAGGTTAAAGCCGCGAAACTGGCTCGCTCGTGTCGCGTTATTCGCCCGTGGAAGCATGAAGCCACTTGGCCGTTCTCTCACCTCTCATCGCGGATAGAACTTTTCTCGTGATTCTGCTTGCGTCAACGCGTATCACATTTGGCAATGACTGACCGTTGCAATCACATGCACTCGATTTTTATACAGTTTGCATCATCTTATCACATCCGGATTATCATATCTGCATTTGTGAAAAATACATTGCCTTTATTCGCACGCCGACGAATAATCTCCCGTTGTCGGCTGACAATCAACCGCAATTATTGAAATCAGCGTTGTCGACTGGCAATCAACCGGCCATTTCCGAAATCAGCGAAATTGCGCGCGGCAAGCCGAGTGTTTCACCGGCGCAATCTCGCGACACCCCGTATATCTCACAACGGAATATACTACATATATAAAACTCACGTAAATTTAATACAATATCGCGTTATCGTCTCGGAAAGCCTTGAGATCTCTTTAGATAATGTGCCTGGTGACGATCGCGCTTCTCGTTGACGTATTATCGAGATGTAAAATCTATTGCCGTGCGGAATGCGCGGCAATCGATAAAAATAAAAAGGATGAAAATCGTATAAAACGACGGGCATGCGCGATTCAGTGAATCTTTCAAAGAAGAGAGTCGACATATTTGTCGGGCAAATATACCCGCACTTATGAGATTACAGGAACTATTTATTCGTAGTCTGAGAAGGGAAGAAGAGGAAGCTCGCGTTTCGTGCGGAAATTCATGGAGCAAATAACGATATAACGTCAGCCACGGTTTGACAATCAATAACGAAATTAAACGGGAGCGCGATTAAGGCGTATTGAATTTTGGCGACGATTAATTACGACACCCAGCGAGAAGACGGTAACATTATATAGGATGATGACATTACCGCACGGTATATTTGATTGATGGTCATCGATAAAATTTTTTATCTTGCGATTTTTAAGTAGATAATACAGAAGAAAATGCCACGACAGTGAGTTCTGAAGACTTTAATTCGGTGGACGCGAATATTTTACACGTCTTATTCTACACTGAGAGAAAAAGTATCTAAGAGATGAAAACATATTTATTCAGTGGGTGTACTAACAACGTATTTACTTGTACTAATATATAAAATATTGTACAAGTAAGAAAACATTTCCTTAAGATCTCCAATGAAAGCAATCGTTTATTTTTTTTATTTAAATAGAAGAATTTAGATTTAAATAGATATGTGCAATTTTATAGTAACCACCGAATAAGTATTTTTTACTTTTCAGATATTTCTTTTCTCAGTGTACGAAATACGCGCGGTGTATTTCACGGCGACGGGATAAATTAATCTCTCACGATTTGGACTTATTTGTGATAACAGATGACGAATAAAAGAGCCAACTTAATTAAGTTCGTTGAGGGTGGTCCCTCGCATACAAACACGAATTTACAAACGAGAAAGCTTTTTTGATAACTTGCATAATATTACGATTTCAGAAATCTATTTTGATAAATAATTACAAATCGACAGCGACATATTGAACTCAATACTGGCTTTTACTCGAAATAAATATATTTTATATAAGAGAATTATATTTTATTAAATAATAAAGCACCGCGTATAAAATCCGTGTTTTATCTTTAAAGCGAAATTGCAAAAGCAATGCTTTTATCCATTTTAATTAAATCGATTTACTCTTGAGTTGTGATGTATTGAATCAATTGCAAAAATGAATTCACGAAGAAAGGGGAGAGGGGGACGGGGAAACGCAGTTGAGGATGACATGAGCATTTCGCGCTTCGTAGGGAAAAAAGCAAACACGAGATATACAGCTCCAAAGGCTGTGTAATTAAGCGAACATGTTATTTCGCGAATACGCGAACGACGATTTCTATCGATGCCGATAATTGAAATAAGTATCGGAGATGACTCATCGTATCACCGATAACGATACAAGTGCACGTACTACGCCTAAAATTCCGCGGACAAAGGTCTCTGATTAAATAGTTCGGTCATACCATAGAGGGAGAGCGCTGTGGCTCTTTATAAAATATAGCAAAAAATTACCCCGAAAGCGGCCGATAAGGTTATAGAAATTGATGTTATCGGCCGAACATTAATTAAACATCGTTAAGGGGATGCCGGATATGCAAAAAAACATTGACTTTTTTCTGCAAAGTTTACGTCTAGTTGCTTGCACGGAATTACAAGCGCTTTTACACAACAAAAGTACACGCAAAAATAAATTGGAGCATTGCTCAATATGTAACAAAAACGAAAAAAATTTATAAAAATTTAAATTTTGAGCTGTCAGTTAGTGCAATATTTGCTTAATACG